AACCCGTAAGTTCCCCCTCAATAAGGACAGGTTATTTCCAATTTAGATTATAGAACAATTGATTTATTTAAGTAATAATCGGGTCGCGTCTGCTCCGCACGCTCGGTCAATTACAACTAACTCTCCCCCTGCTCTGTCACTCCGCTCGCGCTCTCCTTGCCATTCTCGCCGCTCTCCTGCATGACATCGCCGCTCATTGCCGGCTCCCACAGGTACCATTCGAATAGGCTAAAAATTAGCTTTCTCGTGGTATACCGTGCATAATGGCGCATCCTCTTTAAAAAAAAGGTTAACATTAAAATGGCGGCTGGGGTGTTGGGCAGCGTCAAAACTCGGGAAAATGATAATGCCCAGTATTGGCGAACCAGGGTCCGAAGATTTCGGGACTTGATTCCTCAAAATCAGTGGGAGCGATTTTAATGGGACAGGTACCATTCGAATGGGCTAAAAATTAGCTTTCACCTGGTATACCGTGCATAATGGCGCATCCTCTTGAAGAAAAGGTAAACAATAATGGCGGCTGGGGTGTTGGGCAGCGTCAAAACTCGGGAAAATGATAATGCCCAGTATTGGCGAACCAGGGTCCGAAGATTTCGGGACTTGATTCCTCAAAATCAGTGGGAGAGATTTTAATGGGACAGGTACCATTCGAATGGGCTAAAAATTAGCTTTCTCGTGGTATACCGTGCATAGTGGCGCGTCCTCTTTAAGGATGTAGTCTCATGTGTGAGGTTGAATAAAGCGATTTTTTTTTTCACACATTTCGATAGTATTGTTTACTAAGAATGTACTGTTAAAGTTTCAAATAAAAATATCAAATAATGACAGAGATACAGCCCATAATCGAGACCGCGCCTACACCGAAAAGTATGAGTTTCTCGGTAGCGTCTATACTTTAAACGCGTTTTTCTCGGAACGACATTTTTGTGTGCGGCGCAGGTGATTCACAAAATTCTATTGTACCGATCTAGCTGAAATTTGGATATGTTGTTCTAAAAAGTAACACCTCTGTCCCGTACTAGAATCATTTATTTTTAATGATTAGTTTTTTTTTTATCATTAATTTAAGATAAATTTTTTAAATTTTTTAAAATTTTTTTTTTTGTGAGTTCGCCATTTTGTTGTTTATTGATGAAAATATTTCATTCTAGTACGGGACAGAGCCATAAGCTTACAAAACAATAATCTATTCTAATTTTTTGTTTCGGATGACTCTAGCAGTCAAAATCACCTGCGCCAGGGACCTACCTTTTTTTTTTATATGCATACTTTGGCATGCTATAAAGTGTATTAAACTACACAAGAATAAATTAAACAAAATTTTTTCAAATAGTTTATGATGCCTATAAAAACATATGTGAAAATGAATACGATCGCATTATTTTTTATTACAAAAAAAAATTTTTGAAATAACCTCTAAAAAGTAGGCCGGAACATGAGACTACATCCTTAAAAAAGGGTAAACATTAATAATGTCGGCTGGGGTGTTGGGCAGCGTCAAACCCGGGAAAATGATAATGGCCAGTATTGGCAAACCAGGGTCCGAAAATTGGGGCCCTTGATTCCTCAAAATCTGTGGGAGCGATTTTAATGGGACGGGTACCATTCGAATGGGCTAAAAATAAGCTTTCTCGTGGTATACGGTGCATAATGGCGCATCCTCTTTAAAAAAAGGTAAACATTAATAATGGCGGCTGGGGTGTTTGGCAGCGTCAAAACTCGGGAAAATGATAATGCCCAGTATTGGCGAACCAGGGTCCGAAGATTTCGGGACTTGATTCCTCAAAATCAGTGGGAGCGATTTTAATGGGACAGGTACCATTCTAATGGGCTAAAAATTAGCTTTCACCTGGTATACCGTGCATAATGGCGCATCCTCTTGAAGAAAAGGTAAACAATAATGGCGGCTGGGGTTTTGGGCAGCGTCAAAACTCGCGAAAATGATAATGGCCAGTATTGGCGAACCAGGGTCGAAAATTGCGGGACTTGGTTCCTCAAAATCTGTGGGACCGATTTTAATGGGACAGGTACCATTCGAATAGGCTAAAAATTAGCTTTCTCGTGGTATACCGTGCATAATGGCGCATCCTCTTTAAAAAAAAAAGGTAAACATTAATAATGGCGGCTGGGGTGTTGGGAAGCGTCAAACCCGGGAAAATGATAATGGCCAGTATTGGCGAACCAGGGTCCGAAGATTTCGGGACTTGATTCCTCAAAATCAGTGGGAGAGATTTTAATAAGACAGGTACCATTCGAATGGGCTAAAAATTAGCATTCTCGTGGTATACCGTGCATAATGGCGCATCCTCTTGAAAAAAGGTAAACAATAATGGCGGCTGGGGTGTTGGGCAGCGTCAAAACTCGGGAAAATGATAATGGCCAGAATTGGCGAACCAGGGTCCGAAGATGTCGGGACTTGATTCCTCAAAATCAGTGGGAGAGATTTTAATAGGACAGGTACCATTCGAATGGGCTAAAAATTAGCTTTCACCTGGTATACCGTGCATAATGGCGCATCCTCTTGAAGAAAAGGTACACAATAATGGCGGCTGGGGTTTTGGGCAGCGTCAAAACTCGGGAAAATGATAATGTATACCGTGCATAATGGCGCATCCTCTTGAAAAAAGGTAAACAATAATGGCGGCTGGGGTGTTGGGCAGCGTCAAAACTCGGGAAAATGATAATGGCCAGAATTGGCGAACCAGGGTCCGAAGATGTCGGGACTTGATTCCTCAAAATCAGTGGGAGCGATTTTAATAGGACAGGTACCATTCGAATGGGCTAAAAATTAGCTTTCACCTGGTATACCGTGCATAATGGCGCATCCTCTTGAAGAAAAGGTACACAATAATGGCGGCTGGGGTTTTGGGCAGCGTCAAAACTCGGGAAAATGATAATGCCCAGTATTGGCAAACCAGGGTCCGAAGATTTCGGGACTTGATTCCTCAAAATCTGTGGGAGAAATTTTAATGGGACAGGTACCATTCGAATGGGCTAAAAATTAGCTTTCTCGTGGTATACCGTGCATAATGGCGCATCCTCTTGAAAAAAAGGTAAACAATAATGGCGGCTGGGGTGTTGGGCAGCGTGAAATCTCGCGAAAATGATAATGGCCAGAATTGGCGAACCAGGGTCCGAAGATTTCGGGACTTGATTCCTCAAAATCAGTGGGGGAGATTTTAATAGGACAGGTACCATTCGAATGGGCTAAAAATTAGCTTTCACCTGGTATACCGTGCATAATGGCGCATCCTCTTGAAAAAAAGGTAAACAATAATGGCGGCTGGGGTGTTGGGCAGCGTCAAAACTCGGGAAAATGATAATGGCCAGAATTGGCGAACCAGGGTCCGAAGATTTCGGGACTTGATTCCTCAAAATCTGTGGGAGAGATTTTAATAGGACAGGTACCATTCGAATGGGCTAAAAATTAGCTTTCACCTGGTATACCGTGCATAATGGCGCATCCTCTTGAAAAAAGGTAAACAATAATGGCGGCTGGGGTGTTGGGCAGCGTCCAAACTCGGGAAAATGATAATGCCCAGTATTGGCGAACCAGGGTCCGAAAATTTCGGGACTTGATTCCTCAAAATCAGTGGGAGAGATTTTAATGGGACAGGTACCATTCGAATGGGCTAAAAATTAGCTTTCTCGTGGTATACCGTGCATAGTGGCGCATCCTCTTTAAAAAAGGGTAAGCATTAATAATGTCGGCTGGGGTGTTGGGCAGCGTCAAACCCGGGAAAATGATAATGGCCAGTATTGGCGAACCAGGGTCCGAAAATTGGGGCCCTTGATTCCTCAAAATCTGTGGGAGCGATTTTAATGGGACGGGTACCATTCGAATGGGCTAAAAATAAGCTTTCTCATGGTATACGGTGCATAATGGCGCATCCTCTTTAAAAAAAGGTAAACATTAATAATGGCGGCTGGGGTGTTTGGCAGCGTCAAAACTCGGGAAAATGATAATGCCCAGTATTGGCGAACCAGGGTCCGAAGATTTCGGGACTTGATTCCTCAAAATCAGTGGGAGCGATTTTAATGGGACAGGTACCATTCGAATGGGCTAAAAATTAGCTTTCACCTGGTATACCGTGCATAATGGCGCATCCTCTTGAAGAAAAGGTAAACAATAATGGCGGCTGGGGTTTTGGGCAGCGTCAAAACTCGGGAAAATGATAATGGCCAGAATTGGCGAACCAGGGTCCGAAGATGTCGGGACTTGATTCCTCAAAATCAGTGGGAGAGATTTTAATAGGACAGGTACCATTCGAATGGGCTAAAAATTAGCTTTCACCTGGTATACCGTGCATAATGGCGCATCCTCTTGAAGAAAAGGTACACAATAATGGCGGCTGGGGTTTTGGGCAGCGTCAAAACTCGGGAAAATGATAATGCCCAGTATTGGCAAACCAGGGTCCGAAGATTTCGGGACTTGATTCCTCAAAATCTGTGGGAGAGATTTTAATGGGACAGGTACCATTCGAATGGGCTAAAAATTAGCTTTCTCGTGGTATACCGTGCATAATGGCGCATCCTCTTGAAAAAAAGGTAAACAATAATGGCGGCTGGGGTGTTGGGCAGCGTGAAATCTCGCGAAAATGATAATGGCCAGAATTGGCGAACCAGGGTCCGAAGATTTCGGGACTTGATTCCTCAAAATCAGTGGGGGAGATTTTAATAGGACAGGTACCATTCGAATGGGCTAAAAATTAGCTTTCACCTGGTATACCGTGCATAATGGCGCATCCTCTTGAAAAAAAGGTAAACAATAATGGCGGCTGGGGTGTTGGGCAGCGTCAAAACTCGGGAAAATGATAATGGCCAGAATTGGCGAACCAGGGTCCGAAGATTTCGGGACTTAATTCCTCGTCGATAATTTAGCGGACCAGTTTGAAGAGGAATTTATCACAGCGTTCTATTTAATATCTACGGAGTCCGAAACACTTTTCCCCAGTCAGCTACAAGCGTGCGCCGAGCAACAAGCGACGCCTGTTCCTAAAATGCTCGGCCCTGGTGCGGCAGTCCAACTTCCAGTACCTAATTTTTCCGGAAAGTATACAGATTGGCCAGCTTTCCATGATCCGTTTATGCAACTCATTCACCAGAACCAGGCGTTGTCAAATATTCAGCGATTCCATTTCCTCAAGCAAGCACTACCTAAAGAGCAGGACCAAGATGTACACCAAATGGAACTAACGGATGGCGCCTACACAATCGCATGGGATCTCATCATCAAACGCTATGATAGCCCCCGTTTACAATTCATGCACCACATGAACGCTCTCTACGACTTACCCTTTATCTCAAGGGAAAGCTCATCAGAGATCAAACATATGCTGAACGTAACCAACGTATGCATCAACGAGTTCAATCGTCTCAAAACGAATATCCATTCTAGCACGCAATGGATAGTCCATCATTTGATCGCTAGATTACCTACGACAACTGTACAAGCCTGGGAGCATTGCTTGGGAAACTCCAGCGACATTCCGAGTTTCCTCGACTTGGAAACCTTCCTCAACACTCGCCTCGTCAGCATGAACATCATTGAGAACCGGAAATGTTCACAGCCCACGCACAACTCTACGATCAACAAATCGACAAATTATGCACGCCAAAATCCCACGCAAAAGGGTTCCGGCTTCTACAAGGGCAGCATGTTCCACACCACGACTGGAACCAGCGGTCCCATCTCTTGCGTACACTGTAAGGGGCAACACATTTTGCGGCGGTGTCCTGATTTTTTGTCCAAGGATTGCTTTGCCCGCAAACGAATCATTGACCATACAAAGGCATGTCTAAATTGCCTCAGCATCCATCATCCCTTGTCGCAGTGTGGCAGTAACAAGAATTGTTTAAAATGCGGACAGCGTCACCATACCCTGCTTCACTTCCCCACGACGTATACCAGCCCATCACCGATTATTCAGAACGCAGCAAGCGAGAGCTCCGATCTTGCTTATCCTTCCGATTCCACTACAGTGCTGATGGCCACTGCCGCGCAGTCAACTCGATCCATTTTGCTGGCCACAGCTCTAGTACAACTACATAATAACAGCACCGGACAAACTGCCGTTATTCGAGCCTTGATCGATCATGGCTCTGAGGGCACGTTAATCACAGAACGTGCCGCTCAGTTGCTGGGACTTCCACGTCACCGAGTCACAGCACAGATCACCGGGGTCGGTGATAACTCAAAGAACATCTGTAGATTTAGTACAGAGTTCTCCGTAAGCTCATGTACGGACCCTCAATTTCACCATCTGGTGCGACCAGCGTATGTCCTCAACTCGATAACCTCTCATTTACCAAGAAGCAATGTCAACGTGGACACTTGTCAGCATCTTCAGGGATTACACTTGGCCGTGTAATCCACCCCACCTTTACCAGGCCAGGCCGCATCGACGCGTTATTTAGAGTAGATCTAATACCATATTTGTTGCTGCCAGATTTACGGAAAGGAGCTTCAAATCAACCTATTGCTCAACTCACTCAATTGGGTTGGATCGTGTTTGGCCATAGCAATGAAACAAGGGCAAATGTGGTAACCATTCGTTGCCATCAGACCAATCTGGATGCACTGGTAAAGGGTTTCTTCGATCTCGATCAAATCAGCTCTGAGAGGACCTTAACAGCAGAAGAACAATGGTGTGAGAATCATTTCCAGCGTACCTGCATCCGACAACCCAATGGAAAATACCTGGTCCGCCTTCCGTTAAAAACTGAATTTGATAAAGAACAAGTCATCGGAAAGTCTCACCAAATCGCACTCAATAGATTCCATCTCTTAGAACGTCGGCTAAACAGAAACGACACGCTTAAACAACAATATCACTCCACCATTAAGGAATAATAGTAATAGTATTTCTCATCATGTACTCTCCCACACCATGCCGTGGTAAAGGAGGACAGTACAACGACCAAAGTTCGGGTGGTATCATGTACCACTTCGAACGGAAAATCCCTTAACGACATATTGTGCATCGGCCCACCGCTACAAAACGATTTAGGAGGAGTCATCATGAAATGGAGGCTACATCGTTACGTGTTTGCAGCAGATATCCAACGAATGTATCGCTGTATCGACATGCACCAGGATGATGCTCAGTTTCAACGCATCTTATGGAGGAATGATCAAAACGAAATAGCCGAGTACAGCCTAAACACTGATAATGATAATGGGAAAATGATAATGGCCAGTATTGGCGAACCATGGTCCGAAGATTTCGGGACTTGGTTCCTCAAAATCAGTGGGAGAGATTTTAATGGGACAGGTACCATTCGAATGGGCTAAAAATAAGCTTTCTCGTGGTATACCGTGCATAATGGCGCATCCTCTTTAAAAATAGGTAAACATTAGAGGTCTGCATGATTGCACTCAAAATTTTCGGTTATTTGAGTACAATAAGTTTAAGTCGCAATTGAGCGTGCCAAACCGTTTCAACAAAGTGAATTGCGGATTGGTAAGGGTTGGTTTCGTTGTGCGCGAAATGAGTAAAATTCAAACCAATGTGGAATGGATAGAATGAGTGAATGCAGAGTAAATGCTTAGAGTACTCGGATAAAATTTTGACATTCTCGTCATTCATTGCAGTTAGAGCAGAAGCTAAAACTAGTTGCACATTTTTTTGTATACCTGCAAGCAGCTCGGCAAGCAGGTAGCAAGCAGCTACCTGCAAAGAGCCTTTTCAGATGCTAGAAATTTAATTTCTGAAAAGCGATGTATTATTGCTAACAATGCAAATACAATAAAAAAAAATTATGTTTTTGCATTCTGTTATGAAAAATTAAATAAATGACATACATACATATGTATATATAATAATTAATCCATGCCTTTCTATTTTTCTATTTCTTGTATTGAAAAGCAACACAAAAACAAAGACAAAAAATAAATTTGACGTCACAAATGCGACGCACAACTAACCGAGTACTCGGTTACAAAACTCCTTTGGTTATTGCGTCGCCGTTCGGATAGAGTAAATTTTTTACTCATGCCTTTACCACATTTGCCAAATCCGTTTTACTCAATGTCTCACTCAGTCAGGCAGAACTTTGAGTGAGAGTGCAAAATGCTGCTTTGACTGTATTCATGCAGACCTCTAGTAAACATTAATAATGTCGGCTGGGGTGTTGGGCAGCGTCAAACCCGGGAAAATGATAATGGCCAGTATTGGCGAACCAGGGTCAAAAATTGCGGGACTTGATTCCTCAAAATCTGTGGGAGCGATTTTAATGGGACGGGTACCATTCGAATAGGCTAAAAATTAGCTTTCTCGTGGTATACCGTGCATAATGGCGCATCCTCTTTAAAAAAAAAGTTAACATTAAAATGGCGGCTGGGGTGTTGGGCAGCGTCAAAACTCGGGAAAATGATAATGCCCAGTATTGGCGAACCAGGGTCCGAAGATTTCGGGACTTGATTCCTCAAAATCAGTGGGAGCGATTTTAATGGGACAGGTACCATTCAAATGGGCTAAAAATTAGCTTTCTCATGGTATACGGTGCATAATGGCGCATCCTCTTTAAAAAAGGTAAACATTAATAATGGCGGCTGGGGTGTTGGGCAGCGTCAAAACTCGGGAAAATGATAATGGCCAGAATTGGCGAACCAGGGTCCGAAGATGTCGGGACTTGATTCCTCAAAATCAGTGGGAGAGATTTTAATGGGACAGGTACCATTCGAATGGGCTAAAAATTAGCTTTCTCGTGGTATACCGTGCATAATGGCGCATCCTCTTTAAAAAAAGGTAAAAAATAATGGCGGCTGGGGTGTTGGGCAGCGTCAAAACTCGCGAAAATGATAATGGCCAGAATTGGCGAACCAGGGTCCGAAGATTTCGGGACTTGATTCCTCAAAATCAGTGGGGGAGATTTTAATAGGACAGGTACCATTCGAATGGGCTAAAAATTAGCTTTCACCTGGTATACCGTGCATAATGGCGCATCCTCTTGAAAAAAAGGTAAACAATAATGGCGGCTGAGGTGTTGGGCAGCGTCAAAACTCGCGAAAATGATAATGCCCAGTATTGGCGAACCAGGGTCCGAAGATGTCGGAACTTGATTCCTCAAAATCAGTGGGAGAGATTTTAATAGGACAGGTACCATTCGAATGGGCTAAAAATTAGCTTTCTCGTGGTATGCCGTGCATAGTGGCGCATCCTCTTTAAAAAAAAGGGTAAACATTTATAATGGCGGCTGGGGTGTTGGGCAGCGTCAAACCCGGGAAAATGATAATGGCCAGTATTGGCAAACCAGGGTCCGAAAATTGCGGGACTTGATTCCTCAAAATCTGTGGGAGCGATTTTAATGGGACAGGTACCATTCGAATGGGCTAAAAATAAGCTTTCTCGTGGTATACCGTGCATAATGGCGCATCCTCTTTAAAAATAGGTAAACATTAGAGGTCTGCATGATTGCACTCAAAATTTTCGGTTATTTGAGTACAATAAGTTTAAGTCGCAATCGAGCGTGCCAAACCGTTTCAACAAAGTGAATTGCGGATTGGTAAGGGTTGTTTTCGTTGTGCGCGAAATGAGTAAAATTCAAACCAATGTGGAATGGATAGAATGAGTGAATGCAGAGTAAATGCTTAGAGTACTCGGATAAAATTTTGACATTCTCGTCATTCATTGCAGTTAGAGCAGAAGCTAAAACTAGTTGCACAATTTTTGTATACCTGCAAGCAGCTCGGCAAGCAGGTAGCAAGCAGCTACCTGCAAAGAGCCTTTTCAGATGCTAGAAATTTAATTTCTGAAAAGCGATGTATTATTGCTAACAATGCAAATACAATAAAAAAAAATTATGTTTTTGCATTCTGTTATGAAAAATTAAATAAATGACATACATACATATGTATATATAATAATTAATCCATGCCTTTCTATTTTTCTATTTCTTGTATTGAAAAGCAACACAAAAACAAAGACAAAAAATAAATTTGACGTCACAAATGCGACGCACAACTAACCGAGTACTCGGTTACAAAACTCCTTTGGTTATTGCGTCGCCGTTCGGATAGAGTAAATTTTTTACTCATGCCTTTACCACATTTGCCAAATCCGTTTTACTCAATGTCTCACTCAGTCAGGCAGAACTTTGAGTGAGAGTGCAAAATGCTGCTTTGACTGTATTCATGCAGACCTCTAGTAAACATTAATAATGGCGGCTGGGGTGTTGGGCAGCGTCAAAACTCGGGAAAATGATAATGCCCAGTATTGGCGAACCAGGGTCCGAAGATTTCGGGACTTGATTCCTCAAAATCAGTGGGAGGGATTTTAATGGGACAGGTACCATTCGAATGGGCTAAAAATTAGCTTTCTCGTGGTATACCGTGCATAGTGGCGCATCCTCTTTAAAAAAGGGTAAACATTAATAATGTCGGCTGGGGTGTTGGGCAGCGTCAAACCCGGGAAAATGATAATGGCCAGTATTGGCGAACCAGGGTCTGGCGTATTGGCGAACAAAAACAAAGACAAAAAATAAATTTGACGTCACAAATGCGACGCACAAATAACCGAGTACTCGGTTACAAAACTCCTTTGGTTATTGCGTCGCCGTTCGGATAGAGTAAATTTTTTACTCATGCCTTTACCACATTTGCCAAATCCGTTTTACTCAATGTCTCACTCAGTCGGCAGAACTTTGAGTGAGAGTGCAAAATGCTGCTTTGACTGTATTCATGCAGACCTCTAGTAAACATTAATAATGGCGGCTGGGGTGTTGGGCAGCGTCAAAACTCGGGAAAATGATAATGCCCAGTATTGGCGAACCAGGGTCCGAAGATTTCGGGACTTGATTCCTCAAAATCAGTGGGAGCGATTTTAATGGGACAGGTACCATTCAAATGGGCTAAAAATTAGCTTTCTCATGGTATACGGTGCATAATGGCGCATCCTCTTTAAAAAAAGGTAAACATTAATAATGGCGGCTGGGGTGTTGGGCAGCGTCAAAACTCGGGAAAATGATAATGCCCAGTATTGGCGAACCAGGGTCCGAAGATTTCGGGACTTGATTCCTCAAAATCAGTGGGAGCGATTTTAATGGGACAGGTACCATTCAAATGGGCTAAAAATTAGCTTTCTCATGGTATACGGTGCATAATGGCGCATCCTCTTTAAAAAAAGGTAAAAAATAATGGCGGCTGGGGTGTTGGGCAGCGTCAAAACTCGCGAAAATGATAATGGCCAGAATTGGCGAACCAGGGTCCGAAGATTTCGGGACTTGATTCCTCAAAATCAGTGGGGGAGATTTTAATAGGACAGGTACCATTCGAATGGGCTAAAAATTAGCTTTCACCTGGTATACCGTGCATAATGGCGCATCCTCTTGAAAAAAAGGTAAACAATAATGGCGGCTGAGGTGTTGGGCA